CAGCGCGCCTTCGGTGGCTCTGAATGTTTGAGCTCTTAAGCTCTTGAGTTTTACGCTTCTCGGACGGCTAAGCGTTGCGGTACTATAGCAAGTTCTCGCACCAAGGCATGACGGCCCTTATTATGGCCTACGTCCCCTAAACTAAAGACTTTCAAGCCTGCCCCCAGCTTTTGAGTCGGGTAGCCAAGGACAAGCACAACAACATGCGAGCGAGGGCCATGGCTGCACAGCAAGTCGACTCCCTTATTACTGAGCTAAAGAAGACTCTGGTAACCAACAACGGTAAATCCCAACAATATTGCTCTTATGATGCGTTGTTGCCTTCCCTGCACAGCACCAGGAAGGCACAGGCAATCTTAGAGATTTCAAAGCTGCCTTCCCGTCAGCCCCCAACTGATCCTAGCAGCACCAGTCACCAAACTCACCAGTGCCTGCGTATGGCTTATCAGCAGGATCAGTCAGGGGCTATGATATGAATTAGCCAGCCCCGGCCCCAAGGCCAGGCTCCGCGAATTTGGCAAAGCTACGTGGAAGCCGCGTCGGTAGGCTGTACCAATGGCTGCAGGAATGCAAGCATTGCTCCCACTGTTTGCGAGTGCTGCTCGACGCTGCTATGACGACGGCGTTGGCTGGAATTGTGAAAACCGTGTTCCCCGCGCTTGCACAATCATCCCGCGAAATCATGCTTTCTGATGAGGACGTCACCGAGGATTACACCAGTGTCTCCAGGGGACAGGTGCATCAGCCCAGCAAGCCTCCGGCACGCAAAAGGAATCCTACATATAAACAAACCCTTAAGCTCTCCCGTGTGAAGGACCGACCTACGCAGCGGTTCGGGCTTTGGCCAGGTTCGGGGCAGCGTGGAGGTGGCAAACGACCGCGATCCAAACCGCTGCAAATGTTTTGAAACAAGCAACACAACCTGAACAATAAAAACGCAACCACACGGTCATGACAATACAAACATTGACAAGTTGTATGCTTGAAAACCTTGAACAACGACAAGAATGACAAGAAAAACAGCAAGTGATGATGATCCTACCGAAGCGGTGTGCCACAACACAGAAACGGCTGGGAGTCAGCAAGCGTTTCGGTCAAAGCTGCAAATAGCTCAGACGAAAGCCGTCGATCTTTCCGTTCGACACAAACAATACTGCTATGTCACAGACGAATCAAAAGCTAAGGAGATTTCAGTAGGATTTCTGCCGTGGCTCTTCAGGCTGTAGCTGAGCAGAAAGCAAATCTCTGCATGAGCGGAGCCTCTGGAGCTGAGCTCTTGATCCAGATCAAGTCTGGGCATGAACTATCTTTTGCGTTAAAAATCTGCAGAAAAACGATTTAACCCTTGCCCGAGAGCTTGATGTGCCCGAACATGTCTTGAGAGGCTACTGAGGGCTTAAAACGCCATCAATATTAGTAGTGCTAAGAACATGAATAATATTAATAACACGAAGAACACTGACAACACGAAGAACATGCTAGGATTACTGCTAACAGTACAAATCATTTCACTTTTTTGGTTGTGTGTGGTGCATTTTGTTGCTTTTGAGGCGTGTCTGGGCTGCAAGAAAGCCAGGATGCAAGCAAGAAAATAGGGAGCAAGGAAAGAAGCAAGGAAGCACCAAAGTATCCGCATCTGCAACTGCCACAGGTGCGTGTGTCTACTGCAATGCAACTCGCTCACGGCCATTCATCACAAAAGGCTCATGTGTACTGTGGACTCCCAAGTCCATCAGTACATGGGACCTTCGGACCTGGGCCACAACAAATGTTAAACACGAGCCCACATCTGATGCACTTTGCCTCATAACCCACACCCTGACGACGCGGAAAGAATGCAACTGGGAGGTATCAGGAGAGTACGGGACTATTTGCTCGCGTGAGGGCAGCTTCAGGTTCATTCCTCAATCGTGCGCGCCAAAACTGATAGAGGGCAATCAGCGTCGGCTGAACTTTCTAACATCGCCCATCCACGATTGCAAGAAGCGCGAGAATGCAATGAGAAGCGCCTTGCCAAAGTCTCAGAAAGCCACCTAGCACCCTCCCTTCAGCAGCGTTTAACGCCTCAGTCATGCGCGCCCGAGAGACTTGACATAAAGGAGGGTACCTGACAACGTTGGGGTATCTCCCACTACTTTGTGCAGCCACAGAATTAATGCCGTACTGGCCCATGCATATGCAACATCAGCTAGAGATCACAATTACGAAGATCTCGTGCGTCATGCAGTTTTGTGTGGGGCCTGTGCGCCATGCGCAGCGGCCATGAGAGCTCGGAGGCAAGCATGGCTTGGGCTTAACTCCGATACAATAGTGTCGAGGTGTTCGGCATGTGGAAGGCTAAAGGCTCGGAGGGCACGGGACTTCGTTAAGAGTCTCAGAACAAATGGCATGAGAGACAGCTTTGGAACTTCCTGTACGAATACTATCACTCCTCACAGCTGCCATAGATTGGACCTCAGCAGCTCGGTTCCATCATTGTTTTGGGCTGCACTCCCCAACGAAGAATATATAGTCCAACATGCAAGGGGAACAGTTGCTTAACAGCCTCTACATCTTGACACGTCGTTATCAGTAGACATGGCCCCAGGCTGCAAGCAGCTTAAATTGCAAGGATTGCCGGAAGAGGTTGCGGCTACGGATGGCCAGATGGCTGCAAGTGTGAATCTCCAGATTCGCGGTTTGCTCGTGGGTGTTGAGGAAAGGCGTGCAGCAGTGTGGAGGGTGGATCGAGCGCAGATCCGGTAAGGAAAAACCTCTGAGCTGTAGGTTGAGAGATGTCCATTGTGAAGAAGAAGCAGAAGAATCTCTGTAAAAAGGTGTTAGAGGTGCTGAAGGATGCCATGTAACATATGCTGGCAGTAGATCAACTGGAATAACCTAGCTTCAGGGCAATGTAGACGTAGAATATGATGATATGACGTAATGGTCCTTCTCCGCTGCAAGGTCCAGAAACTTCAAAAGGTCAACCTCCGAGCGCAGAACAACAAGATATCCCAAACCCTAATTCATTTGAAACTTCTGGCTCTTCCGCAATCAGTTGACAGCACCACCCGTCAGTACTGCTTGAAGGGTCGACCCCATGATCTCGTTCATCATGCTGGGGTATGCGTCTGGGCTTATTTCAAACCAATAGCATGACCTATCCCGTTCAATCCACGCACTCTATCTCGTTCCTTGAGGAATGCTGGGATGCTATAATACTGGCGGGGCTAGATTTCTTCTCTGTCATGTAAATCAACGCGGCAGCTCTCATGGCAGTAGGATCCCGTTTTAGATCCAGATCCAAAGCTATGCCGGGCTTCCTGGGCGGCATGCACAATTGTTGACGCTCACCGCCACGCCGCCAGTGTTTCTGCCAGCCTGCGCCGTCTACGAAGGTCAGATTTGGGATTTAAGTATTATAGCTCAAGGTGGGAATGTGACGAGGAATTGTAACATGTATAAGCGGCGGATGAAGAGAAAACGTGACAAAACAGCGCCAGACGCCCTTGGAGTGCATCTTTTAACATGCATGAGAAAGCTTTCAATCTGCGGGAGAATGGATACGAAATGATCTGAAGACGGTAGCCATGATCGCAGCATCCTGGCGTCGGAGATGCCAGCTGCATCCTCAGAGACAACTGGGCAACTGCTCTCACAGCCAGAGATGAGCTTGCGAACCCACCAAGCCGCATATCCCACATGCTTAATGCTGCATCTTCAGTCCTTTATGACATTGGCAAGATACCCTGTACCAGCAACCCGGTCCTTCTCTGCCTGTGCTGCCGCTACTCGAAGGTAATCCTCCTCGGCCAGTATTCAGACTCAGACCACTGGAGAAGAAAGCTTCGGGGCAGGGGCATACGGGGAACATGCATGCGTTCTTGAAACAATCTGAACTTCCACCCAGGCTCAAAAACTTTTAAAATGTGGGTGTCTTTGCAGACCGCCGAGCTCACAGGCAACCGCAGCAGGAACGGGGCTGCTCGAGCGGTCCCCGCAGGGCATGGTAGGTTTGCATCTGCCATAGCATTTGAGGCTTGCTAATTTCTCAGGCATTCCTTGGATACCAAGCCGGTACAGTGTCCTTGTCGTTGTGTCTGTGTGGGGTATTCGTTGAGATGCATACATCTTTGACGCTTTGATTTGAGCGTGGTATGCAACCAGGATCAGGCCCGCAGCTTCTTCAGGCGGTGCGCGCGCAAGTCGGCATGAAACTGATAGCATGAATACACATGCTCACCGTTGCGAATCGGAGCCTGAGAATCTGATTCCTGTAGCTGGTCTGTTACTATGGTCAAGAGTCTTGGATCTGAAAAGGTTCCGTAAACGGCTTATGATCTGATCCCTTCCTCGAAATTCCAATTTATGCTTCTAACCGTCTGGTACGGGGTTATGCTTCCTATCGTGGGTTGTCGACAGCTTTTCAGCACTGGTGATGAGAAGATTTTTACGTACACAACACCGTGAACGTTGGGCAGTTTACAGGACGTCAGCAAGTATACATGGTACAGAATGTGGGTTTGTGCTGAGATAAACACATCTAACCGCCCTCCAGCATGTTCATAAGAGTATGACAGTATCACATATCACACAGCTGCAGTTCAACTTGCGAGACATTGCTGTAGCGAGTGGTCTAGTATCCATCCGCTGGACGATGGCAGAACATCGCAGTTCTGCTGTGATGATCCCCGTACTAAGTTCCCCTCAATGCGGAGAGCACCCGTGACCAGCATGAGGCAGGATATCTGAATTTGGTACACTCAAAGCCCCAGAAGTCAAATTGCTTCAAGTTTAGGCGTGGGTCCTCTTCCTGTATGTCTTCCTCCAGGGCGACCCATCATTGCAACATGCTGTCAGGAGACCCCCGCCCCCCACGAAAGTACCTGCCAAGCAAGAAGCTGCCTCCAAAAGCACGACCGAAATCTGAAGCCCAGCTCTCGCCGCAACACCTTTACATGCCCTCACTCTCCCATGCTCTCCCATGTTCTTTTTGCAGACTGCGTATACTTTGAGTCGATCTACGGGAGGCCGTTAGCCTCCGCCTCGCTCGCTGCCGAGGCCGCCAAGGCCAAGGCCCTCTTCTTGGCCTCCAAGGCCTCCAGCAAGGCCTTCTTTTCCCTGCTCTCTTTCTCCTGGCAGTGGATGCAGTGGATCTAGAACTCTTTCTTCCTTCTTGAACTATGAAGGGATGTCGAGGAAAACACACACCACGTGTCAAAGTTCAAGTCAACTATGCAGTCCTCCTCTTGCTTGCAGAACTGCATGTAAGAAGACCACCTGCGGCGTCTTCAGAACAATTCATCCTTCTCCATGCGTACTGACTCATCATAGGTGTGCATTGTGTCTTAACTCCTATTACTGTTACTATTGCTCCTAACACTGTCATTGCTGTTAGCGCCCTCGCAAATGCAGCTTGGAAGCATCTCGGCGTTGACACCGCTCAGGGCCTGGTTGGCCTGGGCCTCGGTTTGCGCTTGCACTTTCCTACTCATACAGGAATTACGTGGGGAGGTTATCCACTGGTGCTAAAGGTTGGTCATGGGCCAGTAGATCATTGCAACAGCCGGCTTCATAAGCTGAATGATTTGATGTTGTCAGATGTGAAATCTAGTATGCTGCTTGTCTCTCTCCCTACTACTCCCAACATGATAGGGAAATCGCCATCTGAGCGTGCCACCTGTATCACATCTTGCTCTGCTCTGGCGTTTATGTCGCTCTCAAGCGCCTGCTCAGGACAAGGTAGCGAGGCCCTCTCTGTGCCTGCGTAGATAGCGCAAGACTACCTGGGGGTTTGTGAAGGACTCACACAAATGCAGCCCCCAGAAAACACCTGAACCCAAAAAAAAGCAAAGGTTCAAAAATGTCTGTATGAAAAAATATGTACCAAGTGTCTATGGACACGGTGCACCTACATGAGATCGACTGCGCAGGTGTGTGCGTGTGTATGTACATGTATATATATATGTATGTGTGCATTTACATACTGTACATACATACATGTGCATAATGTATCTGTTTCACATTCAGATGGACATTACCTTAAATGACATGGCTGTAAGGCCTGCTCCTGCGTCTGAGGCTTGGCGAAGCTAATGGCCACCTGAAGCCAGGACTTCGAGGGGCTTCGCCACAACGCAGACTAGTAAATTCTTTTGACAATGCCACGGCTGTGGCTTTTGCTTTCTTCTCACTACGACTCTAACCTAACCAGAATACTTAAAACTATGTTTTATGGTGCTGCACACATGGCTTCAGTCAAAACTGCTTTTCGTATGATGCCTGGTGTACTGCCTTGCCATTGTGGGAACGAATAACATTGCCAGGATGACCGTTATGCCGTTTCGCATGCTTTGCCGTGACTTCTCAACTGGCTTTCCTACGGCGTCCATGAGCACTAATTCTAATGCTGTTGCTACCATCTACGATGTCGATGGTTACAAATAACCACTGATGCTGCTGCTACCACACTAATTTGTCCCAGCAACCCCCAAACCCAGTGCCCAACCCAACAATGCATACGGCACCTTCCGCGAGTCAATGATGGAGCCCGCGGCCAGCATTCGGTTCTTGGCCTGAAGAGCCTTCGCGACGGAGAGGAGGGTGTGGGGGGAGAAAGGGCTTGACCACGGCAACAACACCGGCTGTTTTTTGGAGGTTGTCCAGCATGAGGGCACTGTCTGGAAAAAAATCCTATGCCAAGATCTCAGGCCAGAAGCGCTCACTGCAGAATCCCAGCCCTTTGCTCTCCTATACCCCTAAACCTTAAGCCTGCACTCGAAACCCTAAATGATTTGGGTGCGGGGCATCGCTCACCGAATAGAAGTTCACGAAGCAGAAGCCCTGACCAGCACCACCGGATGAGCATTGCCAGCAGCACAGCGCACTCAATGCCAGGGCAATCACACATGTCATCTGCACGAACATGTTGATGGTCAGGATGCTAAGAACAAGAACAGCCAAAACACATAGACACTCGTGCGATGTTGCAACGGTGGTCTGAGTTCGCAAAAATCGCTGGGCAGAGAGTTGGCAGTCTCGGCCTTGGATTTCCTGGTTGATCTGTCCACCATCATGCGGACCTCGGAGTGCTCTCAAAAGAAAAGTGCTCTGGGCAGCTCAAAGGCTCCCTCTCCCCGTGATGGGCATGCTCCATATCCCAGCATAACCATGATGATCGTCACGGTCATCTTATTCTTTCAAGCACCGACAGTCTTGACAACGCTTCGGTAAATGCTCGTAATGCCACGGTCGTTGCTTCTGCTGCATTCTGCCCAGCTGAGGACTGAGGACAGCACGCCTTTGACTACTGGAACATGAGATTGGAAGGCCTCGAACCACGACTTCAAACTTCAAGAATGAGAAATAGCCAGGCAGCCAGACTGGATGATCACAGCATTCATCACACAATCTAAAGTGCGGGAGTGGGTCGGACATGCAGCATCTTCCGGCCGGCCTTCTTGATTTTGGCTTCGTCCAACTCTCCTATTAATCGCACCATCAAAGTGTCAGAAGGATTCATCTCGACACCTGCGCTCTCAGCGATGGCGGCGGTTTGGGGGAGAGGTGTACCTCAGGACTGGGTAAGGCTGTAAAGTCGGGCTTAAGGAGCTCCCCAGCAGTCAGCTAGTCCACATAGTTTAGAAGAACGCCCTCTGTGCAAGGAAGCTCGATGGTGCGCCGGAGTAGGTAGCAGAGATGCTGCTGACCATGAACCCAAGTAGCAGTCACTGAGCTAATCAACCCGCTCCATCCCGTCACCACCCTCCTCCGCAACACTCCAAACAAGCAGTGTGGCCTTCCGTGAGGGCAGCTTCTTGTTCTGCGTCGCTAGGTGCCTTGCTCTCACAACAAGCTGTGGAAAAGGCGTTGAGGAAAATCTGCGCAGTGTTTATAGCTTCAGGGTCTCACCATACCTGCAGAAAGGCCTGCAAAGAAACAAACAGGCTACTGTACACCCATCCTAGAAACGCTGTAAAGCTCCAGGACTACACGTCCACGCTGTTTTCCGATCTCGGTCTGATCCTCGCTTAGTCTTGGAGAAGCCCCGGATCACTGCATTGCCCTATGTACTCCCATCAAATGCCCTATAGGCAGTACCATTAAATCCTCAAATAGTCTTTGTATGCTTCCCGCAGACCTTCTCCATGGTCAAGTGCTATTCTGATGGAATGATAGCTCCAGGGTTCCGGACGGCACCGGAGTGCTGCAACCTGTAGGTCCAATGTCGTACCTCACGAAAACTTCAGGCATTTCTCTACTGCGACTACCATTTAGAGCGAGCAGCTGCGCTGCTACTACGACTGCCATTCTAGTCCTCGTTGTTGCCGCACCCCCCTTAACACGGAATCTCACTGGTTGAGCAACGAAAATTTGTTCGGATCATGACGCTGCCAGGCACTGGCCTTGAGCTGGCCGTTGGAGACTCTCAAGAATTCCCGGCCTCACATTTGGGCAGCAATTTTGGGGTCTTGGTTTGAAGTTTATGGAGTTTAGCGCAAGGTTCAGGCGTTTTCCCCATGCTGCCCAATCAGGACCGGATTGCTGGAATCGTCATTGGAACCGGCTTTCTTTAGCGCTCGGCATGCCAAGTCGCTGCAACTGAGGCTGTGACAAGCGTCCTGGTACGGAAAGTCTATAAAAACGAGGGACTGCGACACGTATCTAACCTCGGTCTCCAGGTGCTTAGCTTCGACCAGGCTACGGGGCCCGTACACGGACCGGCTGTCTCAGAATTGCGCGGAGATGTAGCAGTTGCATAGAGCTGCTCGAGACTAAGCAGGGGTTAACTCTACTTTCGAACCATAACCAAAGCACAGCTCAATGAAATGACGAAGAATCCCTAGATTATCGCAGATCAGGATTGCTGGCAGTACCGCTCTTCTGGCCAAGTGCCCAAATGAATCAAAGCAAGAGTTCTGGGTTCACAGCCTCGTCTGGTGTACTGAAGGAATGCTGGATGCAGATTTGTCGAGCTTGCTCCTTGTGTGAACTGCGCTTCTTGAGTCCTAGTGAAATATTGTAGGCCAGACATAGCTAGATTGAAAAAGGTCATATCAGGGACAGGTCCTATTTCAGCACTCTTTCGCCTGCTATCTATTCAGGGATGAGGTTGAAGGAAGAACTCACAGTAAATCTGCAGCTAGCAATTAGCTCCACGAAGATTCTGGTGCGCCCGCTGTCAGCGTAGTCACTTGAGCTCAGATTCCGGTAAGCATATTCCAGAGCTAAGCACGGGAGCCTCTAGGAGCTTTCTTGGAACCAGCACAAACTACGGGAAGAAGGGTACGCACAGCTTCAGGGTCCTCGATGTCTTTTTCAATGCCTGAGCCGATGCACGAGTCAATATGGGCCAGCATCAATGACTCAAGGAATTTGGACCTCAGCTTGTCTTCAAGGACTTGGAGTCTACCACAGCGCCTGCAGGAAGACTTCCTGCTCCCAAGAGCATCACCGTGTTTGGGGTGGCCTGCGGCATGATTCAGGGTGCCTCACATCTCAGTAGAGGACGTCCCCAAGTCATCAAGATTAATCGCATGTTTATGCTGAGCATGACACACATCAGGGCAACTACACTTTTCTATCTATCCTTTGCACCTCAGTATAGAAAGCCCCGCTTAGCGGCGACCGCCAAATGCAGAGGAGACTTCGTGCAGCGCATGATCTGAACAACTGGGAGTCCAGTATGTTAGTATGAGCTTGCTTCGGTTACATCATATCCCTACCTTCATTCATGGACAAACTGCTTGGTATAAGTATGGCTACCACAGCTTGTGTGACTCTCGCGTAATAACCCCATGGTGAACAAGTAGAGTCAGTAGAGTTAGCATTCAACGTATACATCTCCGATGACAGCACAGAATCTATGCCAGCCGCTGAAGGAACTCTGTGGGGAGATTTGGTTCTTGCGTCCCCTTTAAGTCTCGTTATGATGGTGTTGCTGCGTCTCCTCTGGAAAAAGGACTGAGATCCTATACTCTTCAAAATTCCTTATAAACACGTTGCAACCAAGGTTGCATGGTGGATTTGGGGCTTGCACGCTCGAGGTGGCCAAGAAATGACAACCAACAAACGCCAGGTGTCAGCACGAGACGGAATAAGCAATCATGGTGGCCAAAATGATGTAGTAATCAAAAGGGGTGAAAGTACGGGCTTTGATGGTTGCAAATAGATGGGGCGATGCTTCATGCTGTTCAAGCCTGCAAGCCTTCCAAATGGCCATGTCTCAAATCCAGTGTCGCCCGACGTCTTACCACCAAGAATCATGCAAATCTTAGCGGAAGGATGCCCCAAGAGACCAGGATTTGAAGACATTTTCTTGCCCAACTCTGTGGGCAAAGCTGCACACTAGACGCAGTAGCTCACCCGTGCCGCAGCTGAGCTGAAGCAATCCCACCATGTCTCAGTAGAATTATCAAAATGCTGTCTCGGCTTCGGTGCTTTATTCACATGCCATGTTTGTAGTTGTTGTATTTACTCCCTAATCATGGTTTGAAACCCACTCCTAGCTGATGAAACGTAGCATCAGAGTAGTTTACCGCTATACAACCGAGCTTTGAGTTGAGTTAAGGATTCAACGCCAACGCTTCAGCCAATTCTTGCATCATGGCACACTCTAGCATGTCCTGAGAGAAACCCAAAATTCTGACCTGTGCATTTCTCTGGCTTCCTGCATCTGTTTTGAAGCCCCCAGCGGCCGCTTTGCGGCTGCCAGTGGCCATGCCGGGGGCAGTTACACACTGAGGGCCAACTCCGTGGAAAATGGGCTTAAGATCCAGGATGGGGTGATGAGTCGGGGTGGGCGTCCGGGTCTAAGTACATCAGGTCTGGATAATTTTCAGTTGGCAGTCAGCCCTCGAAGCAGTCTCCGGAGAATAGTATCACGTTGCGCCAGCGGCCTGGGCCGCAGATGAGGTTTGGGTCTAAATTGAGAGTGCGTCTTTGTTTTCGAGGTAGCGGTAGAAGGGACTTGATGGCGGAGCTCAGTATCGTCCCTAGCTGATGCTCCTTCAAACGAAGCCACGTGAGCCCCTGATACGAACCAGATCTCCTTTACCACTTCAGCATTGGCTCCACATGGGGATGCCCGGATAGCCAGGGCTCTTTACTAAAGGGAGCCACTACTTCGACACATGACCGTTTTACAGACTTACAATCACTTTTGGAAGACCCCCCGAACTCTATAGGCATCATTGCTCCAGGAGGCTCAATGGCAGCAAGAAAAGCACTTTACAATAAAGTAAACAAAAGACACAAGAAACACTTGTTCAAGATTTCCCAGCAGTGGCAGCAGCGAACTCACTTTACCATTAAGTAAACGAAGACACTTGTCCAAGATTTCACAGCAGTGGAGCTCTCATACCGCAATTTCCGTACTACTTTGTGAAATTCAAAATTGTGCCCATGTCATTTACGCAAGAATTTCCTAGCCCTTAACTCCTAAGGCACCTGCCTCTGACAGCAACCACCCACACCGGAATCATCAAACTGCATTCCCCCCCTCGTCGTAAGCCCCAAACCACTGGACTCGGATGCAAACCCCTACGTAACCTTCAACCCTGGAAGCCTTTGGCAAATACCTTTGCCGGCCTCCGCGCCCGAAGTCGTTGAAGGAGGGAAGTCGCAACGGCTGCTCCTTCCAAGGTGAGCGGTCTGGGAGTTTGAGGCCGAGGTTAAGGACGGATTTTCTGCTTTTAGGTGGCAGTGTTTGGACCTTTCCCTCAATTTTTCTGAGCATTCTCGGGTTTCGTTCTGAGCGCCTCACCAGTGATTTGGCTCATTGTGATTGTCTACCAATCATGGGCATGCAAAACAGAGCAGGCATCATACAATGATAATGGTCCAGCCTCTTTCAGAGACTTGCGGCCATGTCGTCGTACCTGACACTGGCACTCCCTCACTCCTCTTTTCAGCAGGCTGTAGGAATCAAGCGACCTCGCTTTAAACCTGAAGCAAGACAACTTGCCTCACTTTCAAGGCGCTCTTAAAGGAAGGACTTGGACTAGATGATGCTAAGATCTTTCAAGAGAAGGTCAAGACGCCTGCACTAAGCTTCCTCCATGACCAGGTCCTACACTGAGCTAAGTTGCGGGGGCATGCAAATAAGCCATCAACCACAACCCCACGCCCAAAATGTAAACAAAACAATCGACATGTAAATCCCCAGCCAAAAACCCAGCGCACCGAATTG